CCCGGTAGGGGAGGCTGGTGGGTTGGCGAGGGAGGGGTGCTGGGGGGAGGGGTGCTGGGGGGGATGTGGGGGGGCACAGGGGGGCACAGGGGGGCGCGGGCAGTACCTGGTCGCGGCTGCGGACGTGCCCGTAGGGGAGGCTGTTCGTGGTGAGCTCGAACAGAACCACCCCGTAGGCGTAGACGTCGGACTGGAAGCTGTAGGGGCTGCTGTCCTGCATGCGGATCACCTCGGGCGCCTGTGGGGAGACACCGTTAGGGGCGGGGGGGGGAAGCGGGGGGGCGAGGTGGGGGGCGAATGGGCGGGACGGGTGACAGTGGGGCTCTATGGGGCACAGTGAGGATTTCACCATCCAGAGAACAGAGCCCCGCAGCTGGGGCAGGGGGTGCAGCGGAGGGGTAGTGGGGTCAGCAGGGCGCTATGCGGCACCATGGGGGTCAGTAGGGATCTATGGGGTGCTGTGGGATGCCGTGGGGGTCAGCAGGGTGCTATGGGGGCACGGTGGGGCTCGGCAGGGCACTGTGGGGGTCAGCAGGACACTATGGGGCGCCGTGGGGCTCGGCAGGGCGCTGTGGGGCACCATGGGGCTCAGCAGGGCGCTATGGGGTTCAGCAGGGCGCTATGGGGTTCAGCAGGGCGCTATGGGGCGCCGTGGGGCTCGGCAGGGCGCTGTGGGTTACCATGGGGCTCAGCAGGGCGCTATGGGCGTCAGCAGGGTGCTATGGGGCGCCGTGGGGCTCAGCAGGGCGCTGTGGGTCAGCAAGGCGCTATGGGGCGCCGTGGGGCTCTGCAGGGCGCTGTGGGGCACCATGGGGCTCAGCAGGGCGCTATGGGGGTCAGCAGGGCGCTATGGGGCGCCGTGGGGCTCGGCAGGGCACTGTGGGGGTCAGAAAGGCTCTATGGGGCGCCGTGGGGCTCGGCAGGGCGCTGTGGGTCAGCAGAGCGCTATGGGGCACCATCGAGCTCTCACCATCCAGAGCACGGAGCCCCGGGGCTGCTCGACCCGGCGGGCCCCACTCCAGTGCGTCTTCACCGTGGCCAGGCCGAAGTCACCGATCTTCACCGTCAGCCCCTCGTGCAGGAAGATGTCTGGTGGGGGGGTTAGGGGGCAACCGGTACCAATGAGCCTCCCACAGCCACCCCCACCTCAGGGACACCCTGCAGGTCCCCTGCCCCACAGCGCCCCACAGCACAGACCCCCCCAGGAAACACCCCTGCCGCCCCCACATTCCCCCGGGCCTGCCGCCATCTTGGATTCCCGCCCCCCATTCCTCCAGCCCTGCCGCCATCTTGGATACCCCCCCCATTCCCCGAGCCCAGCCGCCATCTTGGATACCCCCCCCATTCCCCTGGCCCTGCCGCCATTGGAGCCCGGCATGGGGGGCGGTCGGATACTGTTGGATTTCAGGTCCCGGTGGATGATGTTCTTGGCATGAAGATAACTAGCGAGGGGAGAGAAAATGGGGGGAGCCCCCTATGAGCAGTGCCCCCCCGCGCCAGCCCCCCATATTCCCATAACACCAGCCCCCTGCCCCCCACCCTTGGCAGCCCCCCACTCCACCATAGCCCCCCAACCACCCCAGCCCCTTCCCTTGACCCCCCGCCCCCCACAGCAGCCCCCCCATATTCCCCTAGTGCCCGCCCCCTGCCCCCCCGGGACTCACTCCATGCCCTGGGCCGTCTGGCGCGCCACCTCGGTGCGGGCGGGGGCGTCCAGCCGGGTCTCGCAGACGTGCAGGTGCCGGTATAGGCTGCTGCCCTCGCACCACTGCGTGATGATGGCGAAACTCGGCCGCGTCATGAACCCCATGAACAGCAGCACGTTGACGTGACGCGTCCGCCTGCAGGGGCCGGGGGGGGTCACTGGGGGAGCAGGGGCTGGGGTCTGTTGTCGTCCCCCCCCCCCGGCCCATCACCCCCGGAGGCCTGGTCCCCCCCAGACTGGTACCCCCGGACGCCTGGGTCCCTCCCGCTGCAG